AATTTCTCAAAGCTCTGCATGGGATTTAACGGGAGCCATATGGTTAAGTCTGTCGACCCTCCCAGAAAGCATCCCCCTGAAGGGCCCTCATAAATGTTCTTGGGGCTGTGAAAGATCCAGCAACTTTCTAACAATAAAGCTATGTTCATAGCCATGATATTCAGCAAAACACAGAGCAGTAAATAATGGCTTCTGGTCTGAATTACTCAAAGGGGCCTACAAGTTGTCCTAGCTACGGGCAGAGGAGCAGGACAGCCTGAGACCTGGCCCCCAGCCCCTCTAGCAGGAAAGAAGCCAGCCTGCCTGTCCCCAGCATTATTAGCCTGGGGTGGACAGTGGGCTCAGGTTGGCTTGAGGCATTGAAGAAAACTCATAATAATGGATTCAGACCCATGCATCTTTACAGAGTTGCTCTGTTATTTAGATCTTTAAGCTGTGACTTTGGTGGACTCATCATTTACTGACTGCTCTCCTTACTTATGTATTTATTTTTTAGAGAAACAATGCCACAAACCATTTAAATATACTAACATTCCTTCTTGATAGCACTTGGGGTGACCTATCAATTTACACAGTGATGCCTTACAACCTTCCTTAATTGAAGAAATAGCACTGCTTTTGACGTCAAGTCCTGACTTGTAATAAGCTTTCCTTTTAATTACTATTAATGGTTTTCTGTTTGTTTATTTGTTTTTCTTGGGCATGCCCACGGGGCCACATCTGCCTGGCACACTGTGTCAGGGTTGCAGAGAGAAAGGGGATAAAGAATCATAGTGTGAGAGGAGGTATCACTTCTAATGAGCAACAGAACCTTTTTATTTTTACACAAAACAAGATTTGTTTCCATAATAATTTACATAAAATTTAAAAGTATTAATTAAAGCATTATAATATATAGAAGTTTCTAAGTTTTAGATCCATACTGCCTAAGTACAGCCCCATGCAAATGGGATTGATGACCAAATGTCTAAGAGCTAAATATCTTATACACTTATACAACAGAATTAGAATTGGTGTAAAATCAAGGAGGCATTCATACATAAATGGCTTCCTATATGCATATTTCCAAGTTTCCTGATATAGCTGGCTAAGTCACTAGCTTAACTAGAATATTCCACGCTTGTATGTTGATGTTAGATGCATAACACTTTCACTGTAAACAATTACTGTTAAGTAATTCTCGCCAATAATCTAATGAACTAATGCATTTGCCTAATTCCCTACAGAGAATTAAAAAGCATGAAGAAAAGTTATAGACTATTTGGGCAGTACTTCCCATAACTGTCAGAGCTCTATACTGCTATCCATTCTTGTAGAACTCCACACTCCATATTACCTTCATTGTACTCCTAAAGAATTACTGAGCATGAATTAAAAGACTCTCTTAGGAAAGCTGGGATCTATTATGATTGTTGCCACCTGCTCAGCTAATCATTGACTCCTAAAAAAAAAAGGTCTCATGTGATAAAAGACAAGACAGGCAAAGAAAGAATTTCCACTACCCTTACCTGCTCATCCGCCATTTTTCCCAGGCTCTGCTGACTTGATCCTGAATTAATGAGCCTGTTACATGATATCTAATAAAAATGACTGGAGAGAGAGATACTGTTTGGAATCTGCCACATACTTGGTTCAAGGCTGAATTGATTTCATCTCTATTAACACATGCTTATTTTCTGTCTCTCTTGTCTCCACACAGCCCATGGCTCACCCCCCCCCCCCCCCCCCCCCCCCCCCCCCCCCCCGCCACCCCCCGGTCTGGGAAACTTATCTTCTAAATTTCTACCATCAATCAGCCAATGACACTCTTCCCGACAGAGCGTCTGCCAGTTTGACTGAGCACAAGTAGTCACTAGTTTGGGGATGCCTCCCACACTCCCTAGAGCTGTGTGTTTTTCTAGCCTGCCTAACCACACAAGTGCAATTTGGGATATTTATACTTACCTCCAGTTTCTATTGAGATAATAGCACTACTTTTACAGAATGGAGCACAGGGCATGGTGAAGGTTGCTATGGGATAGGATAGAAGTGCATATTTTATTTTTCTATCTACTATTAACACTATTTATTTGGGTTGTGGTTTTTTTTTGCATTTTAATTCATTTTAGTATGCATGCCCTGGCTCAATGCCTGCCCCCAAAGCATAAAAATCAAAAGATTCCAAGGACATGTACACTTGGGCCCCAAAGCTTTCTCTGGTAACTTGTACCACGTTCATTTTTCAGTTCTTTATGTCAATATCACTCCCGATACATTCAAGCCTCTAAGCTTAAATTTTATAGCATGCGAAGAGGAAGAAAGAAAAGAGAAAAAGTAGGGTGGCTTTAGAAGCCAAGCACCAGTGTAAGGGAAAGAAAGACGGGGGACCAGGAGCCAGGCAGTCCCCCTCCCACAAAGTTCCAGTCGTGAACACACCCGCTGGCCACAGCACAAGAGCAGTGTACGAGGGCACAGGTGGGTCCCAGCCACTCTGGCTGGATGCAGCTTACGCACTGAGCCTGAATGAAGACTTTCATTGCTGTTTGCTGTTTTTGTTGGCCAGTAGCCATGGCAAACATTTGCAGGTGGCTTGGCCAGATTTTGACACTTAAATATTTGAGGTTGTGATAAAAATCAGAATATTACTACAATATGGTTCTGTGCAGCCACACACATGCGTGCGTGCGCACACATACACACACACACACACACAGAGAAGAATAAAAAAAAGCTATCTACAATTTCAAATGCTCATTTAAAGACAGAGTCTCCAGAGGGAACTCATGTTTTAAAATAAGTACTCATTTCCTCTTTGCTGAGAGAAATAAAAGAGTCAACCAACCCCAAATGTTACCACCTAGAGTTTCATACTGAACCCACTGGTGAGATGGGCTGGGCTGTTTCTCCATGAGCCCCCACGATCATCCGATCATCCGGGCAAGGTTTTGGATGGGTCACATGGAGGAAAATGGAAATGACAGGATGTGTGGGTTTGAATCAACATAGTAAGCACAACAGGGAAGAATCCGAAGAAAAGAAATAGCCTCCCTCCTGCTTTGGCAATGAGACAGAGTCCTAAAAGTGACAATTATCCCCTAGAACACACCAGGAGAGATATATGAAACCCCAAGATGGGGATTAAATGGGAAGAGGGAGTGCGTCAGGAGGTCACCCATACCAGAGAGACACCCCCATCCATCCAGGCAGAGTGACACAGTCTATGAATGTCACCCAAATGTACAGTCCTGGGCCAGCTGGGTACATTATTGACAGAGTCAACACCCATCTAAAAATTTAGTGCTAACCCTTAAAAAAGACTGTTTCATAAAAACCCATGCTGTACTAACAATGGCGGAACACTAAGGGCCTCCAAGAGGGTAGTTGGTGAGGGCAGAGGCGGGCAGGCAGGAGAGCTCCAGGGGGGAAGGAATGCTGTAAAACTGCTAGTAAACTCCAGCACATTTTATGTTTTTTTTTCCCCCCTTGAAAGAAAAATAAAATAATTATAATTAGCTGGCCTAACGGTAAATTGTCTGCCCAGAACCAGACCCTGACCCCCTAAAGTGCAGGTGTCCCTTGAGATTTGGATGCTGCTGTTAATGAATTGGCTCCACCCTCTTAGTACATTATGGATTCTTGCATTAGATAATGACAATATTTTTCTCCCGTAGTCATTGAGGAAAAAACAAAACAAAACAAGAAATCTTGAACAGATAACTTGCTCATTTAGCATTGACATCTTTAAACAAAGCCAAGGATCCAAAGGGCCAGATTGATTTTACCCTTCTTCAATGGGAAACCAAATGTGCCCATGGCAAACTCACAGAAGGTGTCAGTACGCATCCTGATATGCCCAGAAATGTGAGTGCCAAGGTACCCATTCTAGAGTATTCTGAGAGGGGTGGGCCAGTGCTATCCTCCGTGCTCACATGATCTGGGATCTATGACAACATTTAAAAAGTAGCAGGGGCAGAGGTGTCACATTGACAAATTGGGAGGAAACTTCTAAATTTTTTCAAAAATCACCATATCCATTCGTCAACAGAAAATTCAAACTGAATACTGATGCATGTACCCACAGAGAAAGCTCCTCTTCCTGTTTTAAGTAGACACTTCTGGGAACATAGAGCAACCAGTTGTCAGCATCGAGCAATACACATTTATCATAGCTCTTTGGCTTAAGTTATTACCTTTTTTTTCCTAAGAACCCAATGTGCTCTTAAATCTTTTATTTTATCTTTACTCTTATGAGGTTGGAAAGAACAAACTCCATCCTCATTCTGGAGATAAGGAAGCTGGGCCAGAGATTCTGCATTTCTAAGAAGCTGCAGGGTAATGCCCAGGATGCTGATCATCAGACCACATGGTGTAGCAAGCAAGAGTTGGAACTGGATGGTGATACTGAGAACTGAGAGCAGTTTCTGTCACATGGCAAGGGGTGTCTGGGATTCTATGATGGGACATGTCTACCATTTTTTCCTCAATGGCTCAGTGTTGTCCTTTTACATAAATGAGAGGAAGAGGGTCTGCTTTGGTTTGTCTATTCTGGAAATGAGCAAGGGCCAGTGTAGAGGAGGAAGAGCTAATAAGGTGGTATTAACAAGGAAGAGAGGGAGGGAAGAAGGATCAGGGGAAGGAGGACTGTAGGAATAGCCAAGCAGCACAAGTGTCCAGGAAGGGAGGGGTGCATTCAGCTGGGAAGAGGCTGGACAGGGGACTTCCCTCCACCATCATCCGGCACTTGTCCTGAGCACTCTGCTCTGGTCTCCATACCACCAGCAAGTGTACCTGCAACCATTTTCAAGTTTACAAACGAGGACAGAGAACAACTTGCTTTCCTCCTCAACATCCAGGATCAAAACAGCCTCTGTCAAACAGGCTCCCTTTTCTCATCAAAAGCATCACTGTGAATTCTCAGCAGTATCACATCAGCCAGGAAAACCAACCAGTCTGAGCACCAGCATAAAGGAGAAAGTCCAGAACATTCCAAGGACCAGAGACAGCCTAGGAGGTCTCCTTACCCGATCTGGCGGTTGGTAGAAGGTGCCTGTGTGATGACAGAGCTGGACTGGGGCGATGGCATGGCTTGCTGAATCACAACGCTGGTGTCATGGTTGGGCATCCGGGTACTGCCAAGCTGGTGAGCTCCGGGCCCCGTCATGGCCCCACCGACTGTATTATGCATCGGAATATTCTGCCCAGAGACGACAGAGGAGAAAGGTCAGAGGGAGGCGATGTTTCTTTCTACTCCCAAGCTCTCAAAGGCCAAAATTGGGAATCTGGTCATGTCAACTAAATAGAGAGTTACGGCTTCTGGCAAGCCTTGGGCCCATTCATCTTGTAATAACTTACAGCTACGAGGAGATGAAAAATAACTACTCAGTCTGAGAGTAGAGCACAAAGGGAAATGCCCCGAAGTTGGCTTATCACTCTGCCGCCATCCTGATGCGAGGTTTACATCAGGGATATTTAGTGCTTACCCTTTCTGACTCAGTATGATATACGCTGCACTTGAAAGCCATTCTGCGGTAAGTGCATAATACATGATTTAGCGAATTTGGTTCTGCATCCTACTTTGAATGACAAGCACACTGCCTTATTTCTTGGCTTTCAGTCCTAGAAGAGTGGCCAACTCGATTTTTTTTTTCCCTTTCCAGGAAACTATAACTTTTCCAAATCCTTATCAGAGTACTCAACAATCAGTAGAATGAAGATGGATGATTCAAATAGCCGACAGGGCATCAGGGATCCCTGACAAGAGTCACAGTCACAGCATTCTTTACCTCCATCAACTCAACCTCTAACAATTGTATGGAACGCCAGAATGGAGAACAGTGACTGCTTGTGTCTTTACTTGATCACTGTCCTTTCCTCTAGAATGTAGGAAGTGTGTGTTCACAACTCCATCCCATGGTGTTTGAAACATGGCAGGGGTTCAAGACACACATCATGTGGATAAACTAGTGAAAGAACAAATGACACACCTGAGTCCCTCGAGGGGGTCTAGCAGCATGCATTTATTCCTGATGACTGAAATGAAGGCTTTTGGGGTTAAAGTTCAAGATTCAACTAAAACATATAAGGTAAAAATGGGTTTAAAAGACAGGAGCTGGAAGGTGAGAAAGAAATTCAGAATCCACTAAAGAAAGGTGAAGTGTACAGCCAATCAAAGTTAACAGGGAAAGGCAATAAGAAGACCTCTGTGGCCAGCCTGGTATAGCCCTGCAGCCTAGAAGGGGAGAGAAATTCCAGAGGTCAGCTGGACAAAGGGTTGAGGATGGGAGGGGAGGGAAAAATGGAGGGTCACTAGCCATGTACTTGAGGAAAAAATATATATCTGTCTACGCTTTGGTGTTAGCAAAGAAAAAAATAAATGTTACCCAAGAGAACTGGAAGGGGTTCTTTGAAGTTCTTCTGCAAAGAACAGGATTTCCTGCACTATGTGTTAAATGATGGTGATAACATATAAGGGACTGAGGCGGTTGTGTCCATCACACAGCACCTTTCCCAGGTTCTGATTTCTAAATCCTGACCACACAGTTTGTCAAGAGTCCAGTTGGAACCTGGGCACCTGGTGCAGACTGTGAGCTGATTGTGTTGTTGCGGGATCCCAAAGGCTTATACATACACACGGTCCAAGGGCACCTCTTCCATACTGGAAAGCTTTTCTGACATGGGCAAACACTGTGGTTGGGTAAAGTAAGATGAAAGGAAGTGGTGATTTGTGCTGGGGTGGCTGTGCAGGCAGGAGTTATGCTCTATTTCTTTGTATAGGTTCTAGAGATTAAGAAAATCAGATTTTAAATAATAAAAATAAAGGAAATTGTGGGATATATATATATATATATATATATATATATATATATATTTATATAAGGATGTAAACAATGGGAAATATGATCCCTGTTAAGTTGAACCTTACCAAATGCATTTCCCCAGTCTCAATGAGATCTGGATGAGGTAAACAACAACAGGGATCATATTTCCCATTGTTTACATCCTTAAAAAAATTCAAATTTTTTCACCTGCATTGTCAATAACACTTCGGAGACTTAGAAGGATTCTCTGAGTCTCCTTCTAGAATTATTTCTACTGATCTATGCAACCAGAGGTTATCGATAAAGCTGTGCAATTTAATTTTTAAAATCTCAACCTTTAAACACACAAAGAAAAATATGCATGAAACCTCCTTGAGTTACCAGGGACCCCTCTTCTAGGTCATCCCCATGTGCAGCCCCCAAGTCCTGTACATTTAAATTAAGCATCTCTCATCTCTTTCTATCCTTTGTCCCTCCTTCCACCAACCTACACTTGACCTTTCCTGGGTAGACAGTGGGCGAACCGGCCTCCCTCATTCCTCTGGCCTCTCTTCCTTCTCCTTCATACACTACCGCTGCAGTGACCTGTCTGAAACTCAAAACCGATGACATCACACACAGCTCCCACTATGGGTCCCTCACCCTGAGCCCCTCAGTGGCTTTGGCAAGGTACAGACAGCACTCTTTGTGTGACCACCAGGACCTGTGTGGGACTCTTCCTCCCTCCCAGCTCACCAGACACCACCTTCTCTCTGGCTCCCTGGAATTCATCCGACCTTCCTGGATTTCTCCTGCCCTCTTTCTGATTTCATTGCATTTCAGCACAAGGTCTTGGAATATGGCTGTTTTCTGACCCAGATGCTCTTTTTCTGACTCCGCCTTCAACTCTCAGACTGAGCCTCATGCAGGGAAGCCTTCCCTGACCTCCCAGTGATGGGCACCACTTCCTCTTCCTTTGTAGGACTCCTTACAAGTTTATCATGGGTTTTGATGATCTGACTAGTAGCCATTTCTCTCTTCATCTTTAAGGACAGGGCACTGAATCTGATTTATCTCCCTTGTGTCTCTATTGCCTCAGTCAGTCCCTGGCTTATCATAGCAATGAATGAACGAACCTTCCTGGAAAACTCAAGAGGACAATTTTGGGGACTGCTAAATATCCTGTCTATTCACCTTGTAATCTGAAGTAAGCTAAATTTTAGATATTAAGGCACTTATTCAATTGTGGTCAGGAGAAATGGAGAAAATCAGGATTAAGAAGAAAGCCACACAATCTGGGCTGGTAGTACATGCCTTTAATATCAATGACTCAGGAGGCTGAGGCAGGAGGATCACAAGTTTGAGCCCAGTCTCACAATTTAGGAAGACCCCTAGTAACTTAGCAAAATTAAAAAAAAAAAAAAAAAGACTGGGCATATAGCTCAGTGGTATAGCAACTGTGGGTTTAATTCCCCAATATAAAATAAAAAGGAAGAGGAGAAGAAGAAGACAGCCACACAATGTGTATATTGGAAAGTTGGAAAGTAAAGTCTTTGAAAAAATATTAAATGAAACCTTGAAAGAAGATGCTGAGAAGTGAGTTTCCAGTCTTTGAACACTTTGAAATAAATTACCAACAACAATGCTTTACATACACCACAAAAAGCCTTGCTTAAAATCTGGCTTTATACCACAACATAAAACAAAACAAAACAAAAAAACACTTGGTTTGATTTCCTTGAAGTAAAGCATGCTAAATCAAATCAGATAAAAGAGTAACACCCTTCTCCCCAAAAAAGCTTAAGAATCTTTTCTAAGATTCACTGAAAAGAATAAGAATTACTGCTGAGGAATATATTTCACATTCACACCCACCATTTTTTAATAAAAAATATCTGAACACCTACCAATTGTACATGTGGATAGTGTACACTGATCAAATTCAACCTCCCCACCAACGTTTCAGATAATCTTTGTCTCTGCGATCTCCTCCAGAGAAGGAAAAAGCTCCTGAATGTCATGTTCTAACTCTTCAATAATCTCTCTTCCTCACACAGAAAACTTGCAAATTCTTCAGCCTTCTTTCCCCAGACCCAGAAAGCAATTCCAAAACATTTTGGAAAAATAATCTGGCAAAAACATTATCATTCCATGTTTAGAGAAGGTGATTTTATTTTTTAAGCATTACATAGTAACTCAAACATGACATTATTTTCTGAGTTTACATTGTCCCAATTATCAATTCAAAATCTGTCTCATTGATAGAACAATAGCATTTTCATCTCCGGATAAATTGTGAAAAACACAAGCAATAAGTATGTCTTGCGGAGTCATTTTTGATAGTCCAGGTGGGTAGATCTGAAGCTGGTGAAATGATGTCACCGAGTAGATGACACTGGGCGGATGTCCACATGCAGAGGAGGATCCAAGGTGCTCCTCCAAGCTCAGCCTTTGGCCTTTTCTTGTTCGATACTTTTATCAACAGTTTGGATGAAGATGTGAAAAATCATGCTTGTCAAATCTGCAGTTGACACAAAGTTGGGAAGCATGGCTAATGTTCTGGAGAGCAGAATCAGGTTTTCCTCGAGCCAACTGTGTGATCTGGCCTCTAAAAATGCTAACATAAATCTAAGGTTGTTTTAGAAGAACTGAAACGTCCAGATCAAGGGAAGTAATTATTCCGCTGTAGAGTACATTGGGCTGACCACATTTGGCCACCACATTTTAAGGGGGAAATTGACAAATGCAGGGGGGAGGGGGAGGTAACAAAAGCAAATAAGGCATCCAAAATGCATCCCAGGAAGAATGGTAGAAGGATCAGGGAATATTTAGTCTGAAGAGAAGATTCTGAGGGTCATGCTAAAAGCCTTCAAATATTTGTGGGATTAGACACAGTCTATGTTGCTCCAGAGGGCATAATTTCAAAAAGTGGAATCATGATGATAAAAGTCAATAATAACTGCAATTTGAGTACCCAGTTTGAATCAGGCACTAGGATAGATGCTCTATAAACTGTACCTCTCATCTTCACAATGGTGCTATGAGATAGGCATTATTGTCTTCATTTGAAGATGAATAAAAGAGTAAACTCCTCACCATCACCAATACCAGGCCACTCACCTCTGGCCACTGTTAGAGTCTATAAACAAGTCTGGATGGCGCCTGGCATTTTGCCAGAGGGAGTGGTTTGTGAAGTAACGCCAGCGAGCCATTAAGTGTGGAGATTCCTTATTGGTTGACTGCTGAATCAAGTTTATGTTAATTAGATAAGCTGTGTGGAATGTATAAATACCTCTGTTGTCCTACAATAAACGGCTCCCACTCCTGCTGTATCAATCTACACAAGTTGCTTGTCATCCCCCCACCCACCCCCCACCCCACCCGGTTATTTTGCTGC